CACGCTAGGCTGCGTCCGCACGTGACGACGAACACCAGGCCCTGAGGAGTTTTGCACCTGCAGACAGCTATTCAAGGGTCGACATACAATATACCTCCAACGTCTTGAAATTCGCGAAAGCTATCACTTTTTGTCACTAAGCAGTCTGACACTATTATCGCTTCTCGTAAGTTGTAAGAGCGTTATGGATGACCGAAGGTGTATGATTTGAGCCACCCCTCATTGTGCATTGAGCGCGTTGTTCTCTTGCTGCTGACAGCTATCGACTCTCCCTACCGATCACTGAGGCACTTAAAAAAGGCGCTTACATTCTTCATCATGAGTACTGACGTCAGCATGCGTCTGAGCTGATGAGGCTCGTGCGGAAACTTCTGCCAGATGCCTTTCCAAAACTGACAAACATCAATTTTGCATCTCATCACGTCGTCGATTTCCAAACTATCTTTGCAATGCCACCACCAGGAATACGATGGCGATCGCACCCATTGTTCATAGTCTTCACTGTGGGAATGGGTGCGTTCGTGGACCTTTTCTTGTACGGCCTCATTGTGCCAGTACTGCCGTTCCTGTTGAAAGACCGCATCGATCTACCTGACTCTCAGATCCAAAGCACGATATCAAACCTTCTAGCAGTCTATGCGGCAGCTTCCTGCATATCTTCACCCATCGCAGGCTTCCTAGCTGACAGGTTGTTTTCGTCTCGAAAGCTACCTTTCCTCCTCGGGTTAATCCTATGTCTACTTTCGACCATTCTTCTCGCTCTCGGGCGTAGCGTCGCCGTTCTGGCCATTGCACGATTTCTCCAGGGAGCATCGGGAGGTGTGGTGTGGACCATCGGCCTCGCTATCTTGGTTGAGACCGTAGGCCGCGAAAACTTGGGCAAGACTATGGGAACTATATTCAGCTTCATATCAGTTTCCACCCTAGTCGCACCTATTGTCGGCGGTTCATTGTACGCGAAGACTGGATACATAGGTGTCTTTGGAGTGGCAATAGGGTTGATTGGCATAGACTTCATTTTGAGATTGCTCATGGTGGAGAAGAAGGTGGCTGAGAAATACTCTACTCCGGAGACACATGCCTCTGAACCAGATCGGAGCAACGAACAACAAGATACGGAACAAACCCCCCTTCTACCAAATGGTCCTTCTCCGCTCGATCGCTACCGTCTCTCCAAACCATCGAATCGCTTCACCCGCAATCTTCCCATCCTCATGCTGTTTCGCCATCCTGGTCTGCTAACCTCCGTGTGGATTGGATTTGTGCAAGCTCTTCTTCTTGGTTCTTTCGACGCTACTGTGCCGTTGGTAGCTTCGGAGCAACTGGGTTTCGACAGTCTCAAGGCTGGATTGCTCTTCTTACCACTAGGCGGTGCGGATTTCCTACTGGGTCCAGTCTTTGGTTGGTGTGTCGATCACTATGGTACGAAGCCAGTATCAGTCTTTGGGTTCATTTGGCTGATACCAACGCTTGTTTTACTCCGACTTCCGACTGAGTCGAGTATCGTCGAGAGATTAGACAACGGCCACATCATCGCACTCTATTCTGCATTGCTAGCGATGAACGGACTCGGTCTGGCGGTTATCAACAGTCCTAGCATTGTCGAATCTGGAACTATCGTGGAGAATTACTACAAGGCGAATAAAGACATGTTCGAGCAGGCTCCTTTCGCCCAACTCTACGGCATCAACAGTATGGTATGGAGCGGCGGGCTAACTGTAGGCCCACTGCTGGCTGGGTGTCTACGAGACAAAATTGGATACGGCAACATGAATGCCGTGCTCGCTGGTATCTGCGCTTTCACAGCAGTTTTAGCGGCGCTCTTCATCGGTGGTAGAGAAAAGGATCAGGACGCGTCTAGCGAGAACGTAGAGTGAATTTCATTTCGTAATTTTGAGTATCATATTGTAGCATTAATACACCTTCTCTCGTTACGCAGCATAACCATCGTCCAGACACTCGAGCTGATTAGCCACGATGTCTGCTGAGAAGCTTCATCCTGCCGGCCGATGCTGATCAAGCTATTACAACGCCCTAGTTCTGGCCGCAAGTACAGTCGTCACCCGAGCCACTAAAGTTCTTTCCACAATATCCACAGCGGGGACCGTTTGTGGAAGTGGTATTGCAGGTGGTAGTTGACACTGTCATAGTTCAGCCGGAAAAAAAAAAAGCAGTACAGCTTAATAGGTACAATACGTACTGACAATTTTCGTTGTTATAGGGTTGATGGGTAAGCTGTATGTTGGTGCTTTTGGATGTGCAAGTGGTTCGACGGTGCTGATACTGTATGGTTGTTGTGGTATTGTGTCTTTAAGAAGTTGCGGTATCGAGGAGCAGACCGATGCCTTTTATACTGCATAGTACACGTAAAGACTCTCATGTCACTTTCAGTTACCCTGAAATCCAGCGAAATACTTCGGGAACATACATTGGAATTTGGACGGCGGCTACCTATTGAATAGCAGAAACGAAGGGGGCTGACCCGTTTGACACGTCAATCCGAACGATGACAGCGGGTCTATTTTCGAATTCCGCCTTAAACGTGCAGTTGGTGAAGCAGTTGGCCAGAATATCGATGGAAGTCGGTTGCGATTCAGGGAAGATTGTCGAAATGACGGCGGTATCAGGAAGAAGTAGACGACCATCCATGTTGTAAAGACTACGTCTGCTAAGGGAACGGAATAGAAAGCATGTCGTGGGTAAGGCGAATCTTATATCGTGACCAAGTCCCAGTCACCCAAATCACAAGTATATCTGGTGTGCTTGTCTGCCCCTTTTGACCTGTCAAACTATCTGTTCGCTCTACACCATGTTGGGTACTCCGAAGTCCATATCTTCAAGGAAGGTTGATGGGTCAGCAAAACTGGCCCAGTCATCGAAAGCTACGAATGATTCTGAGGCGGGCGCCGTCAGAGCCTCGACAGGGGCGAAGGGAGCGGGGAACGATGCCTGAGGTTTGCTTAAATTGGTAGGGCTAACCTCAAATGGAGGCTGATTTGCTGTCGGTGCGGTTGATGCCAAACATAAGAACTTCGTATCGTAGAAGGATTTTGCCCACTTGGTCTTCGCAGACCACTTCGCAAAGGCTTCGTTGCTCAGGTTCAGACCATCTGGCTGCGCCTGCGATACAGCATCATACCGTCGAGAAGCTTCGCCGAGAAGTGTCGAAAAGTCGACGAACTCTCTAAGAGCTTGGACATCCCAGCCGTCCATCTCAATCAGGCTTGCTCGCACAAGCACAACGAATATGTACGCAAACTGCGCGAAAACGCCGAATGGAACGACAAGATAGTCCTCGACGGGTAGTTCTAGGTATACCTCTGTGTACCTTTTGGCCGCGTCCATGCATTGCCACATTCCGTCTAGTCGCTGCCGTAGGTCCGTTTCTTTGACTGTGTGGGTGGCGAGATTCCCGAATGAGCGTTCCCAGATCGCGATTCGGGTACAGGCTTGCTGCAAACGCGACACCATCGCCGTCGCTGCGTTTCCAGACGCTAGCGCAACCCTGTCGAGGTCGCTCAAGAATGATTTGGCATATAGTTGCACTGGAGCATGCTCGCAGTCGGTAGCCATGGCTTCTTGCATGATGCGCTGACTCTGCGCTAGCTGCACGAGCAAAAGATCGCTTTCATATTCTCGAGCTTGCGTTAGTACCTCGACGCAAGCTGTATGCCATGGAGTCCAGTTAAGGTTGTCGATCTTCCGGAAGGATGTAAATATCTGTGAGGTTAGATAGAACGTTCCGAGAACTGCACGTCGCTCATCGTTCGTTACGACCTTTGCCGGTTGTGGCACACCGTGCGCTTGTGACGCTGCCATCAAAGCCGCCTTCTCACAAAAGCCTGGTGCACGATCGATATCCAGGTCGTGAGTAAGCGCCATGGTAAGGTGTAGAAGTACTGTGTGGCTTGGTGGTGCGAAGAGATGCGGATTATACCAGTTTCCAATCACTAGCATACCCTGTAACAGGTCGAGCGTTTTCTCACCATTGATTAATACCCTATCCGAGATCTCTCGTATAAGATCCTTTACCAGAATCTGTTGGACTGCTGTATCGTGGAAGAAAGCGACTGTCTTAATAGCCTGTAACAAGAACGGCTTATTGTTGGCCAAGCTGGAAACATCAGTACCAGTTGGGAACACCACAAAAGGCATATGAGGTGCCATCAGTCTCTGGTAGCGATCGAACAAAATGTCGGTATTTGTTTCGTTCGTTTCCATTGATGCGAGGTCGGAATCGTCCATCTCCAGCGTTGCGTCGCGGGCAGAGGCAGTAGTATGGACAGATCCGGTAGCGCTTTGGGTTACGGTCAGTGGTGCCTGATACACAACGTTATTCTTCTCATGTAATCTTGTCGCCTGCTGTAATCCAGAAGTATGCATTCCCGATTCTGAAGATGCCTCTGGCGCATGTTTGTTGGCCAGAGCTTCACTGATGTCTGCAAGCTGTGCCTCGAGATGCTGCAATTGAGCGGATCGCCTACTTACAATTTAGCATTATGAAATCAGATACCGAGCACCGCTCAACTTGACTCACGTTACCTGTTTTGCCTTGCTTCTGCGTTTCGTTGGCTCCCGAGTCTGGCAGACCTTATGTAGTCGTATACATCTAAGAATATGTTAAGCTTTTTGAACTCGTTCAATATCATCTTCCGGACTGAGGAGTCATGCTAATTGGTCGGTCATACGGTAGTCACTGACCTTTCGCAATTGCTGTTCCCTGAACGCCGCACACATTTGCTCTTCGCCCTTGCACAGACTGCACACGATCCATGATGTGCATGAGTCGTGTTTTGCGACGTGGCTATTACTTCTTCAGATCCTTCGTATGCTGAACTCATTGCGACTAGGACGTAGCAGTAAGGTATTAAGACCTCGTGAAGCACGGGTGATGATGAGGACCATGAAGTTGATGGTAACAGGTAAATCGACGTAGCAATATCTCCGTCCGTCTAAACTCCGAACTCTGCAGTATGACAACATCAATCTCGGCTCAACTTTTAACCGTTCAGCAGCTTCTCGTGCGCTCCTCCATATCTTTTACCTGCAACGGGAAATGTCTCCTGAGCTTTTCGAAGGTCTTCCATATCCTCATCGGTCAATTCAAACAGCTTGCTGTTCAGGGTGACGCGTTCGATGTTGGTAGACCCTGGAATGGGAATCGCCCCTTGCCGCGCTACCCAAGCGATAGCGACTTGTGCCGTCTTGAGGCCTTTGCTCTGGGCAGTCTTCTCCACGGCCTCGGCAAGCTTGTAATTCTGATCAAACACTTCAGGTCGAAAGCGGTCGAACAGCTTCGGGCGAAAGTCGTTGGGCGAAAGGTCATCGAGCGTTTTGAAACTGCCCGTGAGCCAGCCTCGACCGACTGGACTGTACGCAATCACAGGGATTTCGACTATATTGGTATTATTAGCGTCGGATCTCCAAAGCGAGTTCTTTCGCGGAAAGACGTACGTTCGGAGCATGCTTCCATGATTCCATTGTGAAGGGGATCGGGTGTGAACAGGCTCAGCTCGATTTCTACGGCTGAGATGGGGTGAACGGCATGAGCTTTGCGAACGGTGTCTGCGTTGACTTCAGACAGTCCAATGCCCCCGATCTTACCCTCTTTTACCAGCTCAGCCAAAGCTTTGATGGATATTTCAACGGGCGTGTTGGGGTCGACGCGTGCTGCGAATTTATCAGTCGTTGCTACGATATCAACCTGCGGATGTGCTCATACCCATCTCGAAGATATCAATGGATTTCGCGCCCCCTAGCCCTTCGAGAGCTTGCTCCACAGATGCGCGGATAGCCTCTGGGCTTCCTGCTGGACCTGCTCCATGATTGAAGGCGCCCTTGATATTGAGGACAACCTTTTCAGCATCCCGAGGGTACTTTTCGAAGTAGTAGCGCATCAGATGTACGGAGTTTGACTCCGGCGTGCCATAGTGAAGACCTCCGTTCCACAGGTTTGCACCCTGATCTAATGCGGTCTTCAGCAAACGAATTTGATGCTCGCGCTCGAATTGAGGAAAAGGAGCAGGAAGAGTCAAGCCTGGAGAGTCTGCCGTCAGTAAGTTGCGTCTAAAATGCTCAGGCAGCATGGGACGGACCTAACATTCCGAGCCCGACAGGGCCCACTGGCTTGCCGCACACGCGTGTAGCTGCTGCTCTTCCAATACTCATGGCGGGCGATGTATAGCAAAAAGACGCCTTGTAGACTTTCAGATCAATGATAAGGGACGATCTGATTGGAATGGATGACACTGATGGCAGTTGACAACTATGCTCTTATAGCTGTGTTCTGAACGGCGCTGCGAGCGACAACACCGTCCGCTCCCGCGTTTCGAGCATGCATATTCAGCACCATTTCGATATTATGAGAAAGTGCGAAGCGATTGTTGTTGCGCCGTTCCCGGTCCCTGTTATGTCTGTGTGGCTTGCTGGAGAGGGGACGGGATGCAGCGACCGCGCGGTGGCAGCTTGATGGCCGGGGGCAGTCGGCGCTTCGGGCGCTGTCATGACCTCCGCCCCCGTTCGAGCGACGACTGAACAATGAACACCCAGATTTAGCAACAACGCTAACTAGATGCCGTGGGATCTAGAGAGGATAGCTGAAGCTTTAGTGTCGTCGTATATGCGCAAGTATACCATGGAGGTCACAGATCACTGAGAGTCCGCTATCCCTCCAAGCTGTAGACCACATGCTGGTGAGGCGCAATTTATCCAAGGCACGAACTGCAGCATGGCTGCATCGCTTGAACACAGCGGCTACGTATCATTTGGCAGCCACCTGCACCCTATCGGCAACCGGTCAGAACAAGCCCCGCACCTGGTAACATCATGATTATCCCGGGCGAGGAATCTTGTGGTCCTTCAAGACTTGACACGCAGGGTCGACGACTTCGGTGAGATATTCGGCGAATTGATTTGGCTTCGCATGGCAGATCCCATCTCCTTGGTTGCGAGCGTGCTGGCCATTGCGACCGCGGCCGCTCAAATCGGCAAGGCCATCTCCCGATTACGAGCTTTCGGAGAGGTTCCGAAGCAAGCCTATGCGCTCAAAAACGAGATCACGGACCTTGAGCTTGTACTTCGTCAAATAAGCGCAGCTCTCCAGCAAAGAACGATATCGTCAGAGGCCGGTGAAGAGTCGCTGGCGCCAATTCTAACACGAACCAAGGCCTACCTCTCAGATCTGGCAAAGGCTCTTGAGAAGTTTGCTGACTTGTGCGCTGGACATGGCACCAGTACTGCAATCGATAGGAGTATTCTGCGATACAAAGGCAAGGCGCTTTTGCAGGGTTTCCAGGAAAAGATACGGACGGTCAAAGAAAGTCTGAACATGATGTTGGGTGCTTCAAACTCGTAAGCGATAAAGCTTTCCGTCATGTCTGTCAACATACAAAGCTGACGTGCCATCTAAGGCGAGATCTACGCCACATCAGGCTCGAACTTCGCCGAATTGCTCTGTTGACTTCCAACACCAGAGAAGGGCAGCACAGTACGAGTATTATCACGAATACAATCAAGGATCACCAGGTGACACTGGACACAAAGATGAACCAACAATTTTTGGATCTGGGCGCACGTGTCGATGCCTTAAGTCAGATCCTTATCCAAGGACAAGCCCAGTCAGACAGGCATAGTAACGAACCACCCGCATATTCGGAAAAGAATGCATACGAATCTGAAAATATCGAGGCCGTCCAGGTCTTCCTGTCGACAAGGTCAACATGCCGAGACTGGTGTCCGTGCGCATGCCATGCAAAGCGGAAGGTGAATGTAACAACGCCCAAAATCATGGAAAACGTCCTCGGCAGACTCTTCGTAGGCTATGCCGGCTTACCTATGCTCAACAACCCCTGTGATTTCAGAGGATGCAAAGACCGCCAAAATGCAAATGCGACTGTTGAGTACTGGTTCCCATGGTGGTTTGTCACGATGAACATGAAGCTGCAGCTCAAGCTGATACCATCCGCGGGACCCCAGGTGCAGTTATCTACCACACGAAGGGTTCCCGATTCTTCGCAGTCAATAACGTTTGCCATGAAAGGAGACATTGAAGGCCTGAAGTATTTGTTCACCACAGGTTCGGCTGGTCCGCGCGATGTCAGTAATTCTCGTGGCTATTCTCTGTTAAGGGTATGTATACCTCAACGCCGGGATTCGTAATAATAAGCTAAAGTAATACCAGTGGGCACTGTATGGCGGTATGCATAACTACGAGACGGTTCATTTCTTGTTGAATCAAGGAGCACATGTTGACGAGATGTGAGTCTATCCCTTAGACAGCCAAAGTTTGATCTTGACAACTTAGTTCATACGACAATGTCTGGGACTTCATGATGAGGGGCAAGTGCAACGAAGTCGAAACACATGCACTCAGATGTATCACAGAAGGCGGCGAGGGAGATTGGTTAGAAGAGCAGAATTTCCCTCTAGTCCACAGGATCATCTTCGGTCTTTCCAGCAAATCTCTTGAAGTTGAGTTGAAAGAGAACCCGAACGCAATATACGTTACCGACGCGCAAGGACGAAATGCACTTGCCTGGGCGACTGCTAGAGTGCAGCTACAAGAGATGGCGCTCCTTCTCCAACATGGTGCTGATCCAAACAATATGGATATCACCGGGAGAACTCCCGTACTGCATGCAGTGGATAGTCATGATCCTGCGTGCTTACGTCTCATTCTTACTGGGGGTGGCAACCCAAACCTCAAACCACCCAAAGGTCTCTTCCGCAGTAGTCCTTTGACAGCTGCTGGGTTTGCCGGCGAGACTAGCTTATTGAAGCTGCTACTCGAGTTTGGTGCTGAGCCTAACGCCCGCAACCCCGAAGGCCTCACAGCATTGCACTCCGTCGCACGTACGCATAACGTCGACTGTGCTCTCTTGTTGCTTGATTACGGGGCTGATCTTCATGCTGCCGCCAATGACGGCGGAACTCCTCTCACCACGGCCGTCGTCCACAACAATCACCCTGTACTTAACGTCATTGTAGATCGTTGCTATGACTACATCACAACCCTGAGATTTGGAGGTAAGTTCCAAGCTCCCTGCGTTCCAGAACAACAAGCTTACTCCCCGATTAGGCCCTCAACTTTTGCCCATCATCGCCGAAAATGCCGATATCAGTACTATGAACATCCTAGCCTCGTCGCACCCTCTCAAATTAGCGTTAGATCTCAGCACGGACAGCTTGTCCAAAGGAACGGCTATTTTGGAACAACGTCGAGATTATAGCGAAAAGCTGTCTGAGGCTTTCGAGGAGTTGGTAACCATCGCACAGGCAGAGGAGTCCATTGCCGGGTCTATCAATAGCCTCGAAGAGTCCGGAATATTCTTCTCCGCAAGATCTTCTTTTCATTCTGATCTGATGGGAGCGATATCGCGTCTGAATTCCGCGACAGTCAGTTCTTCTGACGGATCTGATGAAGAAGAAAGTGGGAAATCAGGATACCCACTGAAAGAGCCACCACATTCTCGGTTAGACTCTGGAACGGAACGCCTGCAATGGTAACATATGGATAACGAACCTTCGGTGTCTTTTCGTGTAGATTTCCTTTATTTCTTTATAACGTAATGATGACGTAGGATATATGGACAGAGCGTTTTGTTCATGGTGTAGTCGGCCTTAAAGACATCATCATGTCTATTGGAAGGGCAATAAACAAGACTCTCACAATCACTTAAATCGTCAGACATATATGCAGGTAGACGCTGTCATTGAAACTGAAGAATTGTTGAGTACGGGTGAACTCCACGCGACACGTACATCTCTATCGATAAGAGTATGTGAGGGGTAGTGCTCGCGCACCTGCATGCACTCAGCGCAGGTCTTTACGTTCCTATTACGAAAGTTTACCCGCAAGTGGTTCACAAGGTTTCACACATATCATTTTCAATCTCACTCACTTCGCCTAGCATGTCGGATCTCGACGCTTCAACACCACGCGTGTTCTTAGCGCGTCATGGTAGGACGGTGGATACGCGTCGTGTCGGCAGCTAATCTCTGTTAGGGGAGACTGAGTGGACCAAAAATGGACGCTACACCGGCATTACAGACATTGAGCTGACGCCATATGGGCTCGAGCAAGTGACTGCGACCGCGACTTTGCTTGTTGGCCATGGCAAGCTTATCGACCCAGCCCAAGTACATCGTATATATGTTAGCCCGCGCAAAAGAGCTCAGCAGACATTTCAGTGCCTGTTCAACAGCTCAGAAGAACATTTCAGTCTATCTATCGATGATGAAAAGGTTAGTGTGACTGAAGACATTGCTGAATGGGACTACGGCGCCTATGAGGGTCTGAAGGTCGAAGAAATCCGGGATTTGAGGAAGGGTAAAGGCCTCGACCAGACCTGTACATGGAACATTTGGCGAGATGGATGCGAGAGCGGAGAGTATGACCATGTTCCCCTAGATCTCTGAAGATTTCGCTGAGATGCGGCAAGATCTGCACAGCAAGTCAGCGACCGACTCGACCGCCTCATCTGCGAAATCCGCGATATCCAGAGCCCGGCCATGAACGGAGAGAGACCAGTAGACATAGTCCTGGTCAGTTTTCGTGTACTTGAATAACTCGTGCGCGGATTCTTACACGACCTAGGTCGCACATGGCCTTGTTCTCCGCTGTTTCCTGAAGCGCTGGCTGGGACTCCCACTTGACGCATCATTTCCAGTGATGTACTCTCCTGGTGCAATCGGTGTACTTGGGTAAGTACGACTCTACACGTAGAAAGTATATTACTGACAAGGCTTAGGTACAAGAACCATAACCTGGCTGAGCCTGCATTCTTTTTAGGCGTCGCACTACCGTCGCACAAGTGAAGCTTCTTAGATATTCTCGTCGGGAACATTAGGTGCCGAAAAATTGAGCTCATGTCCAAAACTTCTGGAACGCGAGGGTTTCGTCGTGCTATAAAGCATAGCAAAGTACGACTGTAAGGCGCACGAGCTTCAGCATAGCGGTCTTGCCTATTTCAAAGCTTGGGACGCAAAAGATTTGATTGTAGTCGAATTTGACGACCGATAAGATGAAAGGCCTTTGAGAATACATGTCCGAAGCCTATGCCAATACTACGAGTTATGTTGATGCATCAGACCATTGAGAACTTGTTGTTCTTGTCGTATACCATCACCCTCAGCAGCATACTCGCCGGATCGTCATCCGCATCCGGCTTAATTACCAGATTCTCCAACAGAACAAAGCCCATATGCTGGTACAGTGGAAATCCCATCGGACTCGCCTCAAGGCCTACGTCAATGCCAGCAGCCAGAGCCTGATCGACACCCCATTGAGTGAGCGCAGTGCCCGCACCGCGCCGACGATAGTCTGGATGGGTGGCAAGTAGAACGAGGTAGTAATTCTGAGGATACATCTTCTCCCAATATTTCGAGTGGGTGTAGTTCAGCGCTTTCTGAAAGGCGATCATGCGCTTCGGATCGCCATCGCGCCGCTTGAACTCCTTTCCTATGGCCCAGTTCTCCACAAAGGTGATGTAACCTGTCATTTCTCAGTATTGTGTTCATCGAGGTTCGCGCGTGCATGCTCACAGTGTAGCGCGTTGAACACGCCCTTACTCCACAGGCCTGTCAGAGCCTGTGTCAGCATACTCTTTCCATTCCTCTCCCATAATGCGAACGCGATTATTGTCGCTACTGCTTCTCCACGATCTTCGCGTTTTTCCTCTGCTGACGCGACTTCTTCAGCCACGATGAGCGTGATTTTGGGATGGTAGAGGTAATGTTTGAACACTTGCAACCAAAAGAATTGACTGTCATCTGGATACTGGCGCCTGTACCTCCAGATGAATTCAAACCCTGGGTCATCAGGTAGACTAGCGAGGGCAACCGTCGTGACACGAGGGACGTCGCGAAGTTCAGCAAGCCTGACCCTGAAGGACGGTGTTGGCGACATGCTGTTTGAAGCTGGGCGGACGGCCGCCTGAGCTGGGGCGAACCCCTCATTTTATCGCTAAACAAAAGCCGCGGTACAGTACGCGGTTGGATCTATAGGATCTTTCTGCTTCTCAGGCCTGCCACGGTATGTGTAGGTGGTAAGACGGAGCTGCAGCCACCTGATTGCAAGTCCGAGATGATAGGCTGATAAGGTCCACGGAGACTTGAGGAAGGGGTGACCGCGTGCACGGGCCACGCAGCCTGCCGCTCCCCATCGATTGCCTCTGCCGCATTTTCCGCACGACATCAATGTGAAGATGTCGGTATGGGATCGACTCTCTGTTGAGCTCGTTGATGAGGTAGCGTTTTTCGTCTTCCGATTCGATACTGTAGGCTAACGAAAAGTCCAGATTTTCTCCTACCTTGCAAGGCCCGTGACTGAACCCCGGTATTCATGGGATGAGAGCAGGCCTATCCACGATTTTAATTACATATGTGGCCTCGGCGGCTATGACTACCCACATGTACTTCACCGGGAGCTGGAGATTCGGCTAGTCTGTAAAGCTTTCGACCACGCCATGACCCGTCTCTACTTCCAACATAAATATGCGACATTCCACACCTGGGAGAACACAGCTACCTCGAGACTTCAAGAATACATCATAGAAGAAGGCGCTAAGTTTGCGCCTTGCATAAAGCGCTTACGAATCATGTTGTCTGAATCAAGACTGAGCCCCGATGGATTGTTCGAAAAGAGAGACGTCGAAAATAATCCTGGGCTGGCTGGAAAGTTGGCCCTTTTGGTCGCGAACACGTCAGCCTTTGTCCCTCGGATCGAAGAGGCTGTCTCTGAATTACCAACGCTAAAACGCCTTGTTATTACGCTCGAAGAAAATTGGCGTAGCGCACCGTTGGAAGTTGATCAGCGAGACGATGAAGACTATGGCCTCAAGCTTGATCTTGACTTCCTGCAGCTCATTCGTAGCAACATCGCGAGCATATTCTCCTCGCCACGCGTACATCTTCCTTTGCTGACTTATCTTCGACTTACGCTGCCCTCAGCATACGACATTGCGATCATCGACGCTTGTATTCAGGACGATATGGCCATGCAACTGCGACATTTGTTTTTGGAATACATCGATGGCACAGGGCCATTCGGTGATCGCGCGTACGACCTTGACGAGAGGTCTGTTAACGACGATCACGGAACCCCGCTCTACTCTAACCTGCAAACGCGTTTTCCAAATACGGATTACATGGACGGCATATGCACCTTGGTTTCGCGTTGTCGCAATCTCGAATCTCTTGGCCTGAAGGGCACTCAATACTGCAACCTTGAATCGCTCATGTGGCGCCCGACCGGAGATGGGCTCAAGACCTTATACATTCACCGTGCGAGAACCCCTTCTTCAGTCTTACTTGCTCTCCTATCCCCGTCCACCAGTATCCCAGAGTCGTCGTCGAGCTCTAGAATTGTTTCGGTGGAGCTTTCAGACGTGGACCTCCACGGAAGTGCGTGGGGCACGATCTTTGATCACTTGGGATATAGTCCGCTACTCTCCTACTTTGATGTGAAGGACATTTTGACAGGGAGGAGCGACCAAGGGAGCTTAGTCAATTTGATAAGAAAGGTTGATGCTCGGGAAGGTTACTTGGGTGAGGATTTGCAGGACCTATACCGGGAGAGTTTGGACAGTTTTTTTAATGGAGAAAGTAATGGCTGAGGTCATAGAGTACATGCGTGTCATTACCCATATCTGGCTTGTCCAAATACAATCTGTTCAGAAAGCTAGGGTTTGTCCCGCCTCTTTAGTAACAGCCGCTTTAACGTTCGCGCTGCCCAATAATTCGTACTTGTAGGGCAAGCTTTGCGCACTGAGTGTACCCTTGGGAGCTGTATTGGCGCTCTGCCCACCAAACAACACGTCCTCCACGACTGCATACCCGTCTTCCGCGCTACTCTCCGTGTACACCATCTTCTTGCCACTGTTCTCAAAGACCGAGCTTTGAACCAGGGCTTGCGCACCCATGCGGGTGTTCACACCTGTAGACTGCTCGTTGTAGTAATTGTTGAAGATGTGCGCTGTGCCGAATCGGAGCAATGGTCCGCGACTGTTGACGCGGTAAAAGTGGTTGTTTGCGTATGTTACGCGGAGGTGGCCAGTGTCTTCGGCGGCGTTCTTGTCGGAATGGCCTACCAAGGTGCCTTTGGACTGCGCTGCATTAGCCAGTGTGTATTTTTGTGAAGATGAACATGAGGACGTACATGGTTGTGAAAGTAGGTGTTGGAGATAGTTACGAAGTCAGCAGCGTGCGAAAGATCGACCAGCCCATCGTAGGTATCTTTGCCAACAGTCTCGTCACCATAGTAGTCGCAATGATCGACCCATACATTGGTGGAGAGTTGAATGGTAGTGGCATCGCCGTACTCAGCGGGTACTCTGCCGATCTTCATGTTGCGTACGATGACATTCTTCTGGCCCAGAATCGTCAGACCAATTCCAGTCAGGGCTGTAAAGTGTTAATCAGGGCTCTTGCAACTTAGAAGACTAATTGCATACAACTTCCTGTCTTCCCGATGATGGTCTTATCAGAGCCGACCTGTACTTTTGCAGCACCACTGATGGCTCCCTGAACTACGATGTTCAAAGGTCCGGAAGAGTTGGCCGCGGCCGAGAGCTGGGGTAAAGTGCTAACAGTTGTAGTAGGACCACCGGCTCCCCCCTTTGTCCCACCATTTGCCATCGCGAAACCAACGTTAGCAGCATCTGTAATGCTAGCTCTCTTCTCCAATGCTCTTGCTGGTGTGTCCTGATAAGTTGGGGTAGGCGATGCTGTGACTGCAGTCACCGCAACGAGTAGAAAGGAGGTAGAAAGCTTCATGTCTAGTACTTGGTGCGACTTGAGATGATGGTGCTTGGTCGTTCTGGCTGAGCCTATGTACACGTCGAAGCTCCATTATGTATGACACGTCGGCGTTTGGACCGCAATAATTTTCGCTGATCATATCCGTGAAGCTTAAGGAGTGGCTTGATCTCCACCGACTTCATATAAACAATGAGCCCTCTTAGGTGGGATTCGATGGCAAATGTCGCCGCGGAAACGCCTGAATACATAGTAACATGAATCATTCCGCGTGACCAATGTGGAGCTCGATTGGGTAGTTTGAACGTGCATCACGGCTGTGGCCGAGCGTTGGCTGATGCATGCGAAACATATCGGTCCGGAGAAACCCCTGGTTGGAGGAATTTAGCTCAATCCGGTGACCCCAGATTTGCATCTGTCTAGCATCTGTCTAGCATCACAATGCCAAGTCTGGGGAATATCGTTAGCTTAAGAAATGTTGCGGGGAATACAACGCGTTGATACTGTTGATGTTGAAAGAATACGCTTGTGGATGATGCGCATGGTCATATTCTGATTTTGGTGAGAAATAACATCGCGACATCGATCCCGGCACCAGAACTGAACACAACTGCAACGATTGAGGCATCCTGGATCTTCAAACCCAGGCACGCTTTTCGTAATCGGCGTTAGTACCTCCAACCATGATGTTCCCATTGCCATTGGCAACCGCAAAACCAGCGCAACTGTGATCAAGTCTCGTGCAGCCGTCAATGACAGCCAAGACACTCCATGCAAGATCGATGCTATGCCATATAAGTCAGGTTTGTTCTGTTTCATAGTCGATTGTGCGGGACAAAGGAGCGAAGATAAGCATACCAGTAACTACTCTCACGCTGACCCGTTGTACTTATACCAACGACAACGCCATTGAACCCGTGCCAACACACCGTTCTCGGTTCTCTACTGTCGAACTCACAGAGAGTTTTGCCGAGGATCCGAAGATAATTGAAGCAAGAAATAAGATTGTTGACGTCTGTGTAGGATCCATCTTCCGGGCCGCACACCAGTGTATTGTCTGAGGTGGCGGTTTGAGCTGCAGGGTGTTAGATGATGTCCACTTGAAAATGCGACAGGTACTCGGAAGGATACGTGCTCACCACTGGAACCTCGTACTATTGGCCACTCAAGTAGGTCATCTGTAGTAAGATTCAGAGACGCTAGAGATGGGAAACCTGGTCCCGGGGTAAGTTCGGAGTGCACCTCTGGGATTGCATCTGAACAGTTTCCGAGCGTCAAGAGGAAGACAATGGGAAGACAGATTCTGAAAAGCATGGTGGACAGAGAGGCGAGTCTAACATGCCAGCGCCTGGATTGGCCTCGAATATATCCTGTTACGCAATAGCTATGTTTCCGTCAACTTTACGCTATTTGTTGCCCTGACCATGGTGTGATTGCTGCAAAACTTGATCGTCGCTTTCCTGTACACGCTGCATAGGTTAGCTTCGGGTACGACTGATATAGAAGAGTTGAACGTACCAAGCAGAATGTCCAAAAACGTTTATCAATGTGCATATCATGTGCTTGTTGCACAGGATGATGGACCGATTTCGCACGAGGTTACTGCGCGGGGGCGCTATCGATTGATAGCCATGCGATCACAACTCAGCACATGCACCTGGGGAACGCGCGTAACAGCCCGATGAAAAAAAGATCCACAAGTACGGTTACATGTGTGTCGTGACGATGTTCGGCTTCCGTGATTGTGAACGACTGCGGTTACTGTCAACGGGTACTCTGCCGTTGCAGTCGCACCAAAATACCTTCCGAATATCCGTCCGATCGAAACGACGCAAGAAAAAGGCAGTGGAATGGCGCTCGGATAGGAGTTGAAAACGAATCTTAGTACAAGACGGATGTATTCAGAAACAACCATGCGAGTGGGGATAATGTTATGCGACGTATAGATGGCTGTACAATAGATGTGATATACCAACTCAGCTCGTGCTGACAAGTGTCATGCCTCAACACAGTGACCAGGTGTATCCAGGGAAGCGATCGCTGCCCGCGGAGTAGAAAGCATTCCTACCAACCAGGAACGAGCGCCATCGCGCCAAATAACAAAACAATGCAGGTGCAGTGGGAATGCAGTACCAACATGTGTCTACCTATCTCTGCCTAATCTTTCCTCGTAGTCATCCACCAATTCGTATGCGGGCCTGAACTTTGGCTTCGAGGCGCCTGTCCCATTCCCAGTTTGGGGTACTTGTTGCGTAGACGGCTGGCGTACGAGCTTTGGGTTTGGGTGAGTATCAGTAGTTCCACCTAATGAGGTATATCCGCGGTCGTATAGCGAGCAGTAAGGTATGTTGAGGAAACGTATAAACTAAAGAAGTCAGTAAGCAAATCATACAGTGTGTGTATTGCGCGTACGGTCCATATATCCACATAGTGCCAGTCTATGACAGGATGTATCCGCACAAAGGCTGGCCACCCGGAGTCGGTCGGGTCAAAGAACTTCAGATGTTGGCCATGCGGATCCGTCCGCCGTGTCCCCACCAGGATCGCCTTGACAGATGGCGTGTCTTTCAAGTAGTCGGCGAAGGCAGCCTTCATGGGTTTCGCGTATTCCAGCAAGGCGAGCCAATATATCTTGCTACTATGCGCGACGAACTCCTCGACCTCGGGAAAGGGATGTGCGTCCTGTATGTACACGCATTGTACGGCGGTTTCGATGCTGGAGGAGGGATTCGGGGTCTGCGTAAGACCCCGCCTGTGCATGGCGCAGAGGTATAGTATAAGAAGAACTAAACAGTCTTTGCCGCCATTATACGATAAAGACAGCTCTGGTAGACTACGTAGCTGTCAGTCCCTAGCTTCCGCACGCCGCCTACATGGTCAGCACCAACCTGTACTTCTCCAAAGCCTCTCCTATGACCCTCAGCGAGGTTCGCGTCTGCTCCTGCACATTCTTGACGCGATCAGACACATCTGTCGCGTCGAGAAACGTGACTATGCGATCATTGATGCGCGTGCATAGCTCGTCGAAGGGCAGCGGGGTATCGGAGACAAGGGGATCTGAAAATCCGGAGGCGGTATTCATTGCAACAAAAGTGCGCTAATCACGACATCAGATGCAGATGTAGGCGATTACGGTAGGGGTAGTGTCGACGATTGGCCGTACGGGGGTGCTGGTTCATGCCATGATGCGTGTGTCGGCCGTGCCAGGAGAGGCGAACAGGTGGAGGTAGCCGGTGCCTTATCGATAAGCGGAATGGATCCTCGGCACATCTCCATGCGGCAAGGCGGCGGCTGCCTCACCTGGCCACTCAGGCAGCGGACAGTAAGCATCGCAGCGGCCATCGGACGGGGCTCCACCACGAGATGCACCATGGGAGAAATTCGGTCTTGAGGCTCGCGTCGAGCTCTACAAGGCGATCTAGGCTGATTGATTACACCGAACGCGCATCTATGATGGTCTGATTCGCCGCTCTTCGGCCCTCGCCCCAGACCCTGACTTGCACTAAAGAATTGCGTGCTTTCGGCACGCGTTGTCATGACCTCTTAAAGGGAATTTTTCCACTGCCGTTGCCGCTGACTATGAGGACTGTCGCCGACGGTCCGAAGTACTACTATTGCTCGTCTCCCCCGTAGACATTTCCTTACTGTTACCGTCAACCCTGAATTCGCAGTCAATATGGGGTCTATCTCGACTGCAGGAGAGGCTGGTACGTCCCCGCAACCATTCGCCCCACCAATGCTCTACCCCATCATGTCGCCATGGGAGAGTAGTGGGAGGCTGCAAATGCACATATACTGACCTGCATGCTGTATAGTGGCCCGAATTGCCCACCTGGCCTCCGACGTGATCGTATCGGTCGTCCCTTCCTTCACAACCGAGTCCGAGTTCTCTGAGCCTCTGCGGGGACTCCAGAAGCACAACGCGCCCAGCGTTGTTTGCAAGACACAGCCAGAGGTGTGTTCGCATGCTCGTTACAAGTAACCAACCCGTATTAAGAATCTCTCCAGGTCCTCACTGTCCGCCAAAATGCCGACCCTCTGCTCTCCGTCTTCCAGCCCATCCGCTCGGGCAAGCTCACCAGCGTCACCACAACCTCGTCCATTCTCGTCAAGTCGATACCGCACCTTTACAAGCTTGCACAATATCCCGTCGTCCTCCACGTATCAGTGGCGCCCTCGGGCTTCCCTGACTTCTCCGACATCACCTCCATCAGACAGTCTGGATTCGCCTTCATCCAATCCGAGACACTACAGGAGTTGCAAGATCTTGCTCTCACTGCCCATGCTTTGGCCATCAAGTCGGGCAAGGGTGTCATCCACTTCTTCGATTCGGGCGCGACCGCTTTCAAGAAGACTGTTGAGGTAGAGGATGCCGACCTGGTCCGAAGCGTCATCGACCTGGACGCGGTGGCGGCATACCAAAACACCAAGTCGGAGGAGACCACACTATACGCCGACGATGGCAGGAACCCGACACTGTCCTTCGCTCGGAGTCAGGCTGTCAATGCCGCTCCAGCAGCAGCGCCTGTCAGCCTTCCTGAGCATCCCAAGTCGCTTCCTGCATCGGAGAGGAACAGCCAACGCGCCGATTCTTCTTCTGGCTCGTCGCAGCGCGATGCTAGCACCAGCGGCGCGTCAGTATCTTCGGCAACCACAGTGGAGTCATTGATCTCCAAGCCCGTTTCATCCGAGGATATCTACCGCTTCGCCACACAGATTTGGGGAACCATCCGTGATGCCACAGGACGAAGCTACGATGCCTTTGCTTTCTCTGGCACTGGCAACGAGGAGGCTGCCATTTTCCTCTTTGGTGCCGACACTGCTGTCTGGGCTACCGAGTTGGACAGCGTGGAGGAGACCAAGGCATACGCCAACACAGCCGTCATCACAGCCAGGCTATACCGTCCCTGGTTGGGTGCGTCCCTTGCTCCCTTGCTTCCCCGGTCGCTTAAGAGGATCGCGGTGCTGGAGCAAGTTCGACGAAAGACTACCCGATGGGGCCCTGTACTGCTCGACCTTCTGATGTCGCTCAAATCAACCGGTGGCGCCTCTCCTACGGTTGTAGGATACCAACTTGGCTACATCAACGAGGACACTGTGTCGCAAGCAATGCGCGGCGTTTACCAGAACTTGATGAGCGAGACGCCTGTACAAAACCTCGTCATCGGCAACCTCGATGGACCGGAGCCCCAGGCTATCAAGGTCGAGCAACCAGGGTTAGAGAATGCCTACATGAAGATCTTGAACCAGGTCTTTGGTGAGAAGCTTCACATTGCTAACCAGCTTGGTTCGCAGCACGCCGGTGTCTCCAACGAGATCTCCTCCACCCCAGAGTACGGATTCGGCTCGCTAGTAGCGCGCAAGGAACATCGTCAGCGATTCGTGGACGAGGCTGCGGCTGCTTCCAAGGAGAACTCTTTCACCACACAAGCGCCCAGGGAGTGGCTGTCGAAGTGGGCACTGAACGCCGATGATACCGACAAGGCTAACGACCTGGCCTCTGAGGTCATCGCACGCTTGGGTACCGACGGCTCGCCCGCTGCCAGTCAGCTGTTGTCATCAAAGAAGCTGTTCTACAAGGAATCACCATGGTTGATTGGCTCAGACGCCTGGGCGTACGACCTGGGTAACTCTGGTGTGCACCACGTCCTCGCCTCTGGCGAAAATGTCAATATGCTCATCGTCGACTCAACACCATATTCCGAGCGCGCAGCCGCCGACGCTGCGAGGCGGAAGAAGGACATTGGTCTGTACGCAATGAACTTCGGCAACGCTTACGTGGCATCGGTCGCTGTATACAGCTCTTACACCCAGGTTCTCGAGGCTATGATCGAGGCTGACAAATTCAACGGTCCCTCCGTCGTGCTTGCTTACCTACCGTACGAGAAGGAGAATGACACGCCCCTGACTGTCTTGCAAGAGACCAAGAAGGCTGTTGACCTTGGTTACTGGCCATTGTACCGATGGGACCCACGCGCCGAGGAGAAGGGTGAAGAGAACTTCAAACTTGACTCGGAGCGAATCAAGAAGGAGTTAGAGGAGTTCCTGTCCCGTGACAACTACATGTCTCAGGTCATGAAGAGACATCCTGAGTTCTCATCCAACATCTCTGGATCCTACGGAACCGAAGTCAGGCAACTGCAAAAGCGCAAGGCCAAGGATGCTTACAGCAAGCTTCTTGAAGGACTCCAGGGCGACCCTATGACCATTCTCTTCGCTTCCGACAACGGTAACGCTGAGAACCTAGCCAAGCGTCTAGGGAATCGCGGCAAGGCTCGTGGTCTCAAGACTATGGTCATGGCTATGGACGACTTCCCAATCGAAGATTTGCCCAACGAGCAGAACGTCATTCTGATGACTAGTGTAGCTGGACAAGGAGAGTTCCCTCAGAATGGTCGCACGTTTTGGGAGACCGTCAAGGACTCTACGGATCTGGATCTCGCAACAGTCAACTTTGGTGTCTTCGGTCTCGGTGACAGTCACTATTGGCCACGCAAGGAGGACAAGATCTACTACAACAAGCCCGCAAAGGACCTACATGCTCGTCTGCTTACTCTCGGTGCTAAGCCTTTGGCCGAGTGTGGTCTTGGAGATGACCAAGACCCAGACGCTTACCAGACTGCGTACTCTGAGTGGGAGCCAAAACTCTGGGAGCAGCTTGGTGTTGCCAACGTCGAGAACCTACCTGAGGAGCCGGCGCCGCTGACCAATGAGGATATGAAGGCCGCTTCCAACTTCCTCCGAGGAACCATTGAGGAGGGTTTGGCCGACACTAGCACTGGCGCCATCTCTGCAAGCGATCAACAGCTCACCAAGTTCCACGGAACCTACATGCAAGATGACCGTGACCTTCGCGACCAACGCAAGGCCCAGGGTCTCGAGCCGGCATACTCCTTCATGATACGCTGCCGACTACCTGGTGGTGTCTCGACGCCGAAGCAATGGCTACAGATGGACGAGATCAGCACGAAGCTCGGTAACGAGACCATGAAGCTCACCACTCGCCAAACCTTCCAATTCCACGGCGTCGTGAAGGGTAAACTCAAGCCGGCTATGCAGGCTATCAACAAAGCCTTGATGACCACTATCGCGGCTTGCGGTGATGTCAACCGAAACGTCATGTGCAGCTCTCTCCCAACTCAGTCAAAGTACCACGGCCAGGTTCAGAACATTGCACAGAAGATCAGCGATCACCTTCTTCCTTCTACCACCGCCTACCACGAGATTTGGCTGGAGGATGATGAGACAAAGGAGAAGCGCAAGATCGCTGGTGAAGCTGTCCAAGACCACGAGCCACTCTATGGCCCTCTCTACCTCCCGCGAAAGTTCAAGATCACCATTGCCATTCCACCTCACAACGACACCGATGTTTACGCTCACGACATTGGTCTCATCGCCATCAAGGGTGAGGATGATAACCTCGTAGGTTTCAACCTACTTGCTGGTGGCGGTATGGGTGTAACGCACAACAACAAGAAGACCTACCCGCGAACTGGAAGCATGTTCGGCTACGTCGCAGCCGACCAAGTGCACCTTGCTTGCGAGAAGATCATGCTCGTCCAACGTGACCACGGTGACCGCAAGAACAGGAAGCACGCCCGTCTCAAGTACACCATTGATGACATGGGCGTTGATGTTTTCAAGGGAAAGGTCGAAGAGCTCTGGGGACAGAAGTTCGACGAGCCCAGACCTTTCAAGTTCCAAAGCAACATCGATACCTTTGGCTGGCAGAAGGACGAGACTGGTCTCAACCACTTCACTTTCTTCATTGAGAACGGCCGCATTGAAGACACTGCCGACTTCCCAATGAAGACTGGTCTGATCGAGGTGGCGAAGGTACACAAGGGCGAGTTCAGGTTGACTGGTAACCAGCACTTGATCTTGGCCAACGTCGCCGACGAAGACCTGTCTGCTATGAAGGAGCTGCTCAAGAAGTGGAAGCTTGACAACACCAACTTCTCTGCAATGAGGTTGTCTAGTTCCGCCTGTGTTGCCTTCCCCACTTGCGGTCTTGCTATGGCTGAGTCTGAGCGTTACCTACCTGAGCTGATCTCCAAGCTCGAGGGCACGCTCGAAGAGTCTGGGCTACGACAAGACAGCATCGTCATGCGCATGACTGGTTGCCCTAACGGTTGCGCACGTCCATGGCTTGCTGAGATTGCTTTCGTCGGCAAGGCTTATGGCGCGTACAACATGTACCTTGGTGGTGGCTACCACGGTCAAAGGCTGAACAAGCTTTACAGGAGCTCGATCAAGGAAGAAGAGATCCTTGAGATCCTGCAGCCTATGATCAAGCAGTACGCTAAGGAGAGGAACGAGGGTGAGCACTTCGGTGACTTCGTCATCAGGAAGGGCTACATCAACGAGACCACTCATGGAACAAACTTCCACGACAACGTAAGTTCCAAGGAATCAGACCATTCATGAGATGCATTGCTAACACCCTCATAGACTGCGGAAATGGAGTCAGATGGCGAGTAAGCCTATCAGCTCGGTGTGAAGTTGGAGGTCTTGATGGATTTCGTCGCATCTCGTCGTTCTTATGAAAATTTATGAACATTTTCTGGCGTTATATGGAGAGGTCTAAGCGGTTGGGAAACGTCTTGTCTATACTTTATGACTTATCGCATGATCAAAAGGAATGAATGATACCATAGCATATTCAATGCTTCTGTTCGTAACTTTAACTTCCGTTGGCTTTCGATCTGATGTTTGATCTTGCGATGATTCCTAACCCTCGGCCTAGCACGGAAACAGCTGACTTGAGTGCGAGCCTTCCCTCCTTACGGGCTCAGCCTCTCAATCTTCCACTCTGCCCCCTTCATCTTCTCGGTGTTGTCCTCTCCACCAACCTTCCTGTAAACAAAGCGATCATGCAGTCGACTCGGCCGTCCCTGCCAAAACTCCACCATATCCGGCACAATTCTCAGCCCGCCCCAAAACTCCGGCACGGGGATCTTATCCTTGCCATCGAACCTCTTCTCGACATCCTCTACTCTCTTCTCTAGCTGCTCCCTACTCTCAATCACACTACTCTGCTGACTTGCCCACGCCCCAATTCTTGAACCGCGAATCCTCGTATCGTAATAAACCTGCGACTCCTCATTCGTAAGCCTCTCTACCGTTCCTTCGACACGAATTTGACGCTCCAGTTCGCGCCAGTGGAAAGTCAATGCCGCATGAGGATTGCTTCGTATGTCGCTAGCCTTGCGACTTGTATCGAAGTTTGAGTAGATGACAAAGCCGCGCTCGTCCAGCTCTTTCATGTAGAGTGTGCGTGCTGACACTCTTCCGCTGGGTAGTTCTGCGGTAGACAAGACGACGGTCTCAGGCTGGTATACGTTGTTGGCTTGCGCTTCCTCGAACCACTTGTGGAATTGGTCGGTTGGCGAGGGGAGGAGGTCCTCGCGGTCTAGTGCGCCTTTGTTGTACTGAGTGGCATGGCCGGGGTCTTCGGAGTTGCTTGTTGGTGCGAAGATTTTCTTCGCTGACTCGGTGGCTGAGTGCAGCATGCTTTTTGGTCGTTGTGGAGGATGTTGTGCAAAGAAGGGTGATGCGAAGTAGCGTGTAGAACTCGTAATTGGGACGGGTCTCGAATATCTATTGAAGATGCTTGTACACCTAGATGCGAGCATTGGTCACTTCAAGCTATGGTGGAGGTTTGATACGTTGACTCACTTCGTGGCGTGATCTGAGCGATGCAATGCTCGGAATGAGTCCTCTCACGATCGGAACGAAGTGGGGTGACGTAACTAGATGCTAGCGCGATTATCGACCAGCCACCGCCAGCTGGCGTATCGCTGCGCTGTGACACGAACCTCACGCGTTCACTGACAGCTAGTAAAAGGGATGAAACATCGAAGCTCTTGTGCATTGATGTCATTATCATGAGAACGCGACTTGATTCCAAAATTGCCGCCCTGAAGAATTTGAAGCTTTCCCATTTCAGAACGCGCTAAACCCCTCGTACCTGCCCGAACATCGACGCGTCTGAAGAGTATCAAACAGCCATTTTCTAATCAGCCATCAATCTCAAACAGTCCTCCTGTTCATCCAGGTCGTACCTCACACTCGTCTTAACCTTCTTATCTCCTTTGTAGTGTGCCGTCTCCCTCAGCAGCCGTTGTGTCTCATTATCGAATCCATACGTTAGTGTGGGAAGCGCGCTCTCCTTCCACACTGGTATTCTCAGTCGTGCAGACTCGATTATAACGAGAATCACGTATAGGATTCCTATCGAGAGCATTGCGACTGGAAAAGTCATGTATGCCCAGTCGACACGTACGTGTGTGACCCAGCGTTGTGTGACGCCCTCAAGTCGATCGGGGGAGGTATTGCGCATCTGGTTTGTGAGACTACGGGCCACATTTTCGAATGTTGTGGTTAGATTTGTGGAGTTCCATAACGCGTCCACGAAAGCCGGTGCGTCTTCATCCGGAAAGGCGATCAAAGAGGGCGGTGGCTTACCACTGGGCTTTGCAGCATAGCTCGTGAAGACGTGGAGATAGTCGATGGTACTTCGAAGAAGCGCGTGAGATATGTTCACCTCTTGTGCCGCCATTGGAGAGAAGCCCCCAGCCTGTTCAGAAGGAATGAGAAGCCGAAGGTCATGTCTCGGAAAATCTATCGCGGGATTGTATAGGTCGTATCCGGTGCTATCCAGGTATCTTTCATCTTCCGAATCCAGAGATCCGATGGTCTTGTATATCTTATGGGAGTCAGGGTCTCGAACAGCCCAAGATCCGATGACGTGCTCCTCGAGCACACCATTCTTACTACTGGCTTGGTAGATGTTCGAACAGAAATACAACGCGCACTCTGTTGCAACAGGATGTGACAACTCCCATGGCACTTTAGATTTGACCCAGTCATCAGGAGCTTTGATGATTTTGAAGCTCATCATCAAAGTTTGCACATCAGAATGTTCCAGAGTTTGACGTGCGGTAGACCCTGTCTTCACTGTCATGAATGTTCGGGGCGTCCCTGATTCAGCGCCCGTAGTATACTTGTACCAGTCGTCGTCGTCCATATTCGACAGACCGTTCCAGTTTTTAATCTCAGTCTCTGGTAGTGAGAACACAGAGTATGGTCTGAATGTAGATATGTGAAGTCAGCGTATGTCTGATATCCAGTCCGTACGACGACACTCACCCATTTGCCGGCCTGTAGGGAGCTGCTGGAACAGTCGACCCGTTCGTGCCGTTCAACGCTTGCGACCCGTTGAATACGAGCGCATCAGAGATATCCTTGCAAGAACTGCACACAGCAGCCGAAACGAACGCTGGCCAGGTACAGTTACCGGTAGGGCAAGTAAAGGCGACATTGTTGGGGGCGTTTGTGGAGGTATTATAGAACCCTGCATTGACAGAGCTGACGATTCCAAAGTCTGGCCGACTCTGGGTAGATGTGTATTGCAATATACCAGACGGTGTTTTGATTGCCCCTAAGGCTCCGCCTGTATTCTCGATTATGTATCCACCGTCAACCCTCAAAGATCGGCCGATGGTAGCGTTAGAAGTTGGCCCGATGTCGGCAGCGATTGAGCCCATCGCTATATCATCAATTGTTCCGTAGGTAGAGATGACCGCCTGGAAAAATGGATCAAATGCGACTGTACCTAAGAGAAGGCAGTTATGTTAGCCTGATTCTAACGCTAGATACAGAACTCGAGGTTGATGAGTGTACGAAGGAGTTGCGATGAGGTGCCGTGAGCTAACTATCGAAGATGAAATAGGTCGATGATCCATGACATACCTACGGTGACTAGAGCACCAAGAGCTGCCCAGTGTCTGCGATTGAATCAGTTTTGTAGTGCGTTTTGATGCTCACAGGGGTCTTTACCGGAATCGCAACCAAAGGAAAAGACGAGACCCGCCCCAGGGCCCACGGCTCGCTTCGTCGAACCTTTCAAATGCAAGTACAGAGTCTGACCTTCTGCGCAGCCAGCTCCATTTCTGCTGCCCGACGCAGGCACTCATAGCAAACGCCAGAGTAGTTCTTGCTACCGTACCGAGAAGGGCCACGATTGTGTTGAGCGTAAAGATGAATGTCCAGGCCGTGACCGGCTTGTTGTCTTGGCCAATGAGAATGATGACTATCGCGGCGATTGAGGCTATGCTTGCGATCAATGCGAAAATCTCGAAAACCCATGAGAGAATTGTTTTGCGAAGTCGGTAAGACGTTTTGCTTGCTTTCTCGAGATTCACAGCGTCCGAGCTGTGAATCGAGACTGCAGTTGCTCGCTCGGTGGCAGGGTCGTTACTGAGATGACTTGTAGAGTTGGAGTGTACCAGAGGCTCTTCAGACGCATCCACATCGTCTGCGAAGCTATAGGTTGCTGCTGGGAATGACATAGGTCGTCGCGTAGAGGCGAATCGTCCTGTCGAAGTTGCAGACGACAGATCAAATTCGGGGGATATCGATCTTCCGTCGTTCATCTTGGAGTTTGTATGTACAGTAGAGATTTAGTACGTAGTGAGTGAGAAAGATGAATTGCATCCAGACAATTTTGGAGGGAAGGCTGCTACAAATGGCTGAGTGAGCTGAAACTACAACAATGTAGGAAGCGCCCCAGGTCTAGTCAGCCACACCCATGGAGCCCTTGATGAGAGATTCCTGTTGGACCTCCGGTGGTGCCAACCTTAGCTGTGTGACCTCACAATATGCACGAACGGCAAGGGCAACTTCTGGCCCCCATTATCCACCTCCCTCCAGTGTATCGTAATGCGCACTGACTAAAAGGCTGACGGAAATGGAACTTGCGCATTATGTGTATCTACAGTAGAAGAAATGAATATGAAGAGCGCTTGTCGAAAACATGGGTTTGGACAGATAGGTACGTATGTTGGAAGGGAAACAGTCGGGACGAGATAAGCACGCTTTCCCGCGGGGCTTGCACTGCCTCGCCGCCCCCTTTTTCATACTCCCCTCACGGCGCTGCGCCAATGTATAAATAAGGTCGAACATGATCGCAATTGCAACGATGTGCGTCGGCGACCAAATAAGAGCTTTCCAAGAAAACACAGCGCGGATATCTACGTGATCCCACCTGTCTGAAGCCATGAGGGAAGTTTCAGGCGCTATAGATAGCAACACGCGTACAGCATTGGGGCCAATTCGAAGAAACTTATATTGATAGTTGCCTGGATAGTGAGGTAGTCACACAAAAAGCAAGAGAAATTCCATCGGTCAGTGATTGCTTGATCACGGCAGGCCGGGTGTTGATGTGATGGCAGTGGCCTGCGAGTGATGTTTGGGTTGGGGGCCATCCTCGCGGGAAATCGGAAGAGAGGCCAAGGAAAGCCCCCACTCGGGCCCCGCCTCCGGCCGACCCGCCGGCTTCCCGCCTTTCATACACTTACCCAGCGATACCACGATGCGCGACTCAACTTCCTACCAGTACGATCTGGGTTCTTACCATCGCAAGATTAGCACATCCAGCCCAGCTTCGCAAATATGGTTCGATCGCGGTTTGGTCTGGTGCTACGCCTTTCACCATGAAGAGTCAGCCCGATGCTTTGAACGAGCTATCAGCGAAGACTCGAATTGCGCGATAGCTTATTGGGGTGTAGGTTTTTGACGGTCTCCCAGGGATGTCTTGTAAACCAAGCTGATCGGCGCAGCTCGCGTTCGCCCTCGGACCGAATTACAACAAGCCTTGGGACTTGTTTGACGAGAAAGAACTCAAGGCCACACTAGGAAAGATAAATGAAGCGAACAAAAAGGCCGAACTACATGCATCCAGTGCGTCGGATCTGGAAAGAGCCCTAATCGACGCCGTCCAAGTGCGCGTGCCGAAAGGTCTAGATGAAGCTGCGTTCCAAGCATGTAACGAAGAGTATGCCAAAGCTATGGAGGGTGTTTACAAGCGTTTCTCTGACGACCTTGACGTGGCGTCTCTCTACGCAGACTCTCTTGTCTGTCTCTCGGCATGGAATCTATGGGATCTCAAGACGGGCCAACCGACGCCAGGTGCTCGCTCTTTAGAGGCGAAGACCGTGCTCGAAAAGGCTTTACAGCAGGACGGCTCACATCTGCACCCAGGAGTTCTCCACCTGTACATTCATTTGATGGAGATGTCAGCAACGCCTGAAGTAGCCCTTATCTGTGCAGATCAGCTAAGACATCTTACCCCCGACGGAGGACATTTGCTGTAAGTGCATGCAAGAAGCCTCCGTAAAGCACATACTAACTCTAGAGACCTATAGACATATGCCGTCCCATCTGGACATCCTTGTTGGCGACTATCGACGTGCCATAGACGCTAACACCCAAGCCTGCCTTGCAGATGAGAAGTATGTCTCAGAGCATGGAGCACAAAACTTCTACTCATTTTACGTGATGCACAACTATCACTCGCTCATATATGCAGCGATGTTTGCGGGGCAGCTGAAGGTTGCGCTAGATGCGGTCGACCGCATGGAAGCCTCACTGCCTGTCTCGCTTCTGCGCATCGAAAGTCCGCCCATGGCAGACTGGCTGGAGAACTTTGCATCAGTTCGTGTACATGTCCTGGTTCGCTTCGGTCAATGGCAAGATCTCATCGCACTCGAGATGCCATCGGATAGAGATCTTCACTGTGTGACAACAGCTATGACGCATTATGGCAAAGGTATTGCGTATGCCGTTACTGGCGACATCGTGAAGGCACAGAAGGAACGCGACGCTCTGGTCGAAGCAGTTGAACGTATTCCAGCATCTCGGATATGTGGGGATTTTCCAAACAGGTACGGTGAATACAGTCAAGCTATCCGGAATGGCGGGCTATAAGGGCATACTAATCCATGCAGGTCTAATGTCGTCCTTCAAGTTGGGATAGCAATGCTGGACGGCGAACTTGAGTACCGCAAAGGCAACTATGAGGAAGCCTTCAGACACCTTGAAACAGCCATCCAGCGTGAGGACGATCTGGTGTACGCCGAGCCATGGCCCTGGATGCAGCCGACACGACACGCCTATGCCGCTCTGTTGTTGGAGCAGGGCCGAATAGAAGATGCGGCAGCGGCCTATAAAGCAGACCTTGGGTTCGATGATACGCTACCGCGGGCAAGGCAACATCCGAACAACGTATGGGCCCTGCGCGGCTACCATGAGAGTTTGATAACCTTGGGTCGAAAAGACGAGGCGGGAATCATTGGGCAGCAACTCAGGATAGCACTTGCTGTAGCTGATGTTAGTGTCAAGGCAAGCTGCTACTGCCGACGCATTCCTGAGTAGTGGGAACTCGTAGAGGGTCGGGCAGTTCGTGATGACCCGAAACATTACGGTAGGATGCGATCGTCGTTGAACGCCTATGGTTCCTGGCCAGTTGGGCTTCATTCCGTGTCCTCCGTGTCCACTTGGCCAACTAAATCCTCCGGCGGATTATGAGGACGATCTTCTATCTGGGTGCAGAGAGGTGCTGCGGTGTGAAAGACACAAGGATTGCTGGCCAGCATCGTCCGTGTTGGTGTCTTTTCGAGCGGATAGATGCAGCTCGTTTCCATATCGGACTGATCTGTCCGAATCTGTCAACGATGTCAGTACGACTCGTGGTTCATCGCTCGTATCATTCCTTGGGCGTTCCCCTTTCGATCAGATGTCAACAGCCTTACGTACTGTTTCGGAGTCGCCTCCGTTACCTTCAAGGGGTTAATGATGACCCGAGTGACAGTTCCGCTACTGAACAAGCCGTCTCTAAGTGCCTTGGTATGCATTGCTGATGAGTCGTGTCCCATCTCCCACTTATCACCCAGTCATGCCTCGGTATCTGGAAGCCCAGTTTCACGATCTGCCGCTAACGGTCGCCGACGTCCTCCGCTACCCTGTAGCTTCCACGTGTCTTACCAAGATCGTGCTAGATCGCCTCGCTTAGCACGCCCCGCCGGAAATTTCGTCCCCAACAGAGTCACGTCTAGTATGCACCTGCGCATGTACACATGCGTTGACTATCGTCCCTGAGGAAAACGCGGATCCCTCCTGTTCCTGGGCCACGCGACATTGACGCTTGGCATTTAACCGGCATTCACCAATGTTAGAAATCAACATCGAGGTCAGCCTGTGGGACCAGAGCGGATCCACAGGCTTGCACACACGGGAACTTGAACACGGGAACTTGAGCACCGAAAACTCTGACGTCTGCAGCCAAAGCGGGCACTTGAATGTCGGAACGGAGTCCGTCGACGTTAATTGTGCGCGGGTAGTCTAGATTGCGGGAGCTTCACGAGCCGCAGTTCTCCATCAACAAATTATGATCGTCTATGATTCAGGCGGATAACGTGGTAGGAGAACTCCCAGAACAGCAGCTGCGAAGCCGCGGGAATAATCGCCACAACATCCCTGATGTCCTATCGCAACGTCTGGGCGTTGATCAGCATGGCGTGCAAGCGGACCCTGCTCTGACATGCCGGCGGTGTTTGCCATTCCTGATTCAGTAGCACAGGGCAGGCCCACGAGCCGCCCTTCCCCTGGGCACCCATCGAATCGAGACTCGCTTGACTGTGGGCTGACTGAACTTGGCTGGTACCCAAGGGCCCGGGTACGAGGTATATGGAGCCAAAACCCGCCGGATTCTTCAGAACCTGGGGGTGAACCAGATTTGCCCGAATTCACGCCTTCACCATGGCTTCAAGGCACGAACTTGCGAACCGAGGACCTGAACTGCAGGCGGTATGTTCAAAGACGCTGAACGAAGTGGAGACCATTAACTGACATCCGCAGGTGTGCTCAACGTTCGTCTCGCTAGCGTTCATTACCACTGTCCTGCGAGTTTACGTACGAGCCCGTATCGTTAAAGCTTTCGGAGCAGACGACTGGTGGATGGTGGCCGCATTGTGTGCTCATGTTATGTTTGCTACTTGCGCAATTGGCGGTATCCACTATGGCACTGGACGCCATATGGACACACTTTCGAGTGAGCAACAGTACAAAGCAATGAGGGTACGTGCGAACCTTTAAAATTGTCTCGATCTCAATTCTAACAGTATGTATAGTACTGGTGGCTTTGCTACATCGCGTACTGCTGGGCGATGATTACGTCAAAGATGTCCATTGGCCTGTTCCTTCTCCGTGTCACTGTTAAGAAACTGCACAAGTAAGCCATGCCTTTGCGTTAGTCTCACAAGATTCAGTAACTGACTTCATACTCCTCATATAGGTACATCATCTACGCTGCGATGGGCCTCACGGTGCTGTGCGGCCTCGTCTTCTTCTTCGTCACCCTCTTCCAATGCCACCCGATCAGCTTCTTCTGGGATAAGAACAACCCAGCAGGGACTTGCATCAACGTAGACGTCATCATCGGTCTTACGTTCCTGTACAGCGCAATCTCGGTCATTAGCGACTTCACGTTTGCTATTCTACCCTTCTTCCTGATTTGGGGCTTGAACATGTCCGTCAAGACCAGGGTCCTTTTGATTCCTATTCTCGGGATGGCCTGCGTGTAAGCTCTCTTGTCACCACTCCAGCATAAGATTCCTAACAATATTGCAGTGCTAGTGTCGCAGTCTGTGTGCGCATGGGTTACGTTATGGATTTCAAGAACCCCGACTTCCTCTGGGCCACTGTTGATATCGCAATCTGGTCGGACATCGAACAGGGTCTCGCCATCACGGCTGGTTCCCTCGCTACTCTCCGTCCCCTCTGGCGACAAGTTTCCGAGAAATTCGGATTCAGCAACTCCTCCTTCGGCCCGTCACGTCCTTCGAACATGCGAACACCACAATGGGTCAACGACCCGAACAGAGAATCGAAAAAGAAGCCCAGCCTCTTCAGCATGACAATGTCTCTGCTGAAGACTGAAAAAGGAGTGTCTACGAAGTCGGAGATCGACCAGGACTACGGCATGGGCAACCTTCAGCCAGTACGGCTCCGCGATGATCTATCCGCGGAAAATGAGAAGAGCGATAAGGTGTTCAACACTTGGAGAATAAAGGGTGGTGGGAAGGTGTCTGACGAGGAATGCCGAGTTGGAGAAATCACAATGGAGACGCACATCAACCAGAAGAACGAGAGGCGGTAGGAATGGAGAAGGCAACTGGAGTGGACAGTGAACGATATGGACGACCTTGTTATTAGCTAATTTAGATTCATGATACCATCCTCATGGCGGCGCGAGCCAGTCAAAACAATACCAAAAAAACGATATGCACAGCAGACTTGCACATGTTACAATTGCTTTAGGGATGTCGTGATGTCTCGCGTGGTATAGAGCTCATGTACGATGCTCGCACCCCATCAATGCATGCAAGTTGAAGCGAGATTCGTTGGCGGTGTATGTAACCTTAGAACGTTTTGACTAAAGGGATCTAAGTATCAAAAACTACATAATCCAGGTCAAACTCTAGCGCATGACCAACTCCAAGTTTCACAATCACCGTTTAATGTACATTACTCGTCTTCGCCCTCAGGAAATTCTCAACCATCTCATCACTTACTTCCGTCACATTGGCCGCCGGTTGACTGCGGGACTCCCCTTTGCTCCTCACTGCCGAATCTGGACGTTGGTCGGCACGTGGGCTCACGTCGCCGACCTTCTGAACCGGCCCATCCGGTGCAGAGCCGTTAGACGTCGCTGCCGTGCCCACTGCGCCAGCAGCCCCACTGCGTTGCTGATCTTGGTCATTTATTGATTGTCTGCCCTCTTGCGTCCGCCCCTGCGTTTGCGCTCCACCCACCCTTTCGTTTGATGGTGTGAGGTTACCGTGGAACGGGCGCTGTCGCTGCTTCGCGGCTTCCTTGTCGACTTTCCAAATGCCGCCTGACGGATCGACAGTGTAAGCTTGCGGGTCATGCTTTACTAATCTATCGAAGATCGGGTCGTTGGGTACTGTTTTGAAGAAGACGTGTTGAAACTCCTCGCCCTTCGCTTCTTCGTCTTTCCGCATCTGCCTTTGGCCATTTTCGACTACATTTTTCGCAGTTGAAACGCCCTTCATGTCGCCTTTATGCAGGGATGATATGACATCGCTCCATGCTTTGCGACTCTCCCATGGATCTTGCTCTGAGAGGTCGGGCACAGTCATGGGTTTGTGCTTGATGGTTCTGACGTCGAAGGTCTCCACCTCGGAACCGTTCCGCGCGTCCTTGATGGTAAACGTGCTGTTCCACGCTCCCTCGATTTCGTAGATGGTCTCACCAGGCTTGTCTGCATGGAAAAATCTTGCGTGAAATCCATTTTTGTGCCCGGAGCCAAACAAAGACTTGCCCTCGAATCTGATATGCGATATGTATCCGTTGGAGGAGATGAGAGAATATTCGCCGTACAACTCCGGGTGTGGAACCCCGCCTAAGAGACCCTTGACCTTAATGTTCGGCAGTGGAAGGAGGTAGTCTTCGTCGTACTTGTCGACATGTACTATGGCGTATCCCTTCTGTTTGATACTGACGTTTCCAGAAAATGTGATTTCTTGCTCCGTAAACCCCTCCGCCCGGATCCCAACTTGATCGTTCCACAAATAGCACGCCGTTACAGGTGGATGGTGGCCGACTTGCTCGGAGATTAGTCGCGTCTCGCCCAGCTCCTCAGTATTCCAGCTTCCGAGGAACAGCTCGCCGAGAAAAGCGTTCAACGGCTTCTTGACGCCATCTTCCTCATTCCGCCCCGCATATTGCTGTCCTCGTAACGAGCCTAGGAAGTTCTTGAGCACAAGCAACGCGCGTTTCTCAGGGTCCTCTTCCAACGCCGGTGCAGCCCAGAGATATGGATGATCCGCCCAGTACTGTGGTATCTCAACTGTCGAGTTCTCGGCCAGTACGAACGGCGGTGCAGTAATGTTTGAAAGATCTCCCGAGATGGTCGCTATGGAACCAATAAAGTCCTTGAGCCCAGAGCGGTTTGCTGCGATATCATTTGACATAATTGCGATTTTAGGTTTGACTTGGCTATCATCAATGCCGGGCAATGAACCTAGTTATGGGGAAGATGAGTGACTTCCTAAAGTAGCGCCAAGTCATGACGTCGGTGGTGCAAGACCCTACGGCCTGCGGCTAACAACGTGAGATCTGGCTTGCCCTGGATTTTGGTAGGCTGTGCACCAACGACTCCAACGCCGCATCGCGCAATCTGCCGTAAACACGTACGCGATCGATGTTGGCCCCGTCGCATAATCAGCCCGACCTATCGTAGTCCGACTGCATGTGAGCGACGCGACAGCGACGTCGCGTATTCCTCCCTAACGGTCTCATCCCGCGACAGATCCAAGCTCATTGGGACGATTAGCAACTAACCACCGACGACCAGGACAGATTGTCGCCAGTTAGGCAACCTACTGCAGACTTCACTCGACGTACTCTGCTTACCACTCATCCGACATACCCGTCTTGGCATCATCACCACATTGAGCCTGCTAACAGGTGTGGAAAGCTGTGAACGAGACGGGTTAGGCTGCAGTTGCTTTGCCTCATGAACGTTGTCAATTTTGCTAAGAACGACAAAACCTGCTCACGGCGCAGGATAGCTCAACGCAAAAGCCTCTCTGATCTCATCTTCACCCCATCCCATCGTCAGTCCCAGCTGCAATAGAATCCTCGCCTTCTGCGGATTATAAAACCCACTCGCAATAGTGAAGTCGCCACCGTCTGGTACGAGTCCATCTGCACTTCGATGGCTAGCCACGATCGGAATACCCGTCGCGTTGTAGAGCTCTTCGGCAGCTAGACCTGCCTTACTCGACACACCTCCTGCGCCAACTCCGGCGTAAACGATTCCTTGGGCGCCGGAGGCATAGGATGCGTTGAAAAGACTGGGATCCATGTCCTGGTGGGCGTAGAGAATTGGTACGGAGGCCAAGTCAGTGACGTTGGTTACGTCGAAAACTACGCGGCCTACGGGTTCAGAGGGTGCGAAGAAGAAGAACGGAACTTGGTTAATGAAGACACCGAGTTGTCCGGCTTCGGTCGAGAAGAATGTGTCGAGTGTGTTGGCGTTGTTCTTGGTTGTGTAGAATGCAGAGCCGATGCGGTCGTTGAGTACGATCTGAGGGTATTGTTAACTTGCGTTTCTAGTTCGGCGTTGATTGATCTACTCACCATCGTTCCTCGGTTTCTTCCAGCTGGAGATCCGGCCAGTGTGACCGCTTGGTATAGATTGAGCGGTCCGTCTGCACTCAGCGCGGTCGCTGGTCTCATAGCACCGACTACAATGACAGGTTTCGTGGAGTTAACAGTACTTTCCAAGAAGAATGCAGTCTCCTCAAGCGTATCCGTTCCATGCGTAACCACAACACCCGAAATCTCATCTTTCGCCAACTCAGCATTGATCATATGCGCCAGACTCAGGCTGATAGTCTCATTGATGCTACCAGATCCCACGTTCGAGATCTGGTAGCCGGCAATGTTGGAGATGTTGAGAAGTTCTGGGACGGCATCGACGAGCTGTTGTACCCCGAGGCCGATTGAGTAGCCGATCGTCTGTGTGTTACTGTTGCCCTGAGACGCGATGGTACCGCCGGTTGCGAAGATGGTGACATTGGGGAGAGAAGCGTTGATGGGTGTTTGGATGTCCTGTCTTACGAACAGTCGGTGGAGATTTGAGCGACTGAGATCAATTGGTGAAGCTGATGTGAGGGTTGTGAGAAGAGGGATGAGTTGGATTGAGAGCTTCATCTTGGCGTATGAAGGAGGCACGTAGCTGGATTACAGCCAACTTCCTAGGAACTCGAACTGACCTTTTATACTCTTCGTGATCTCCAATTCATGCAGCTCCAATGCCAAGCTCACCGTCGGCCAACGTACAACGCCTATCTCCACGGCCTCTTATCAAGCCATCTTCAAGCTACTGTCAAGATACTGTCGTCATGCAGTCTTGGTATTTCTACAAGCAGCTCGATTAGTAAATTATGTGAGTCGTAGTCAAGCTTCGCTCTCTTGGCCATGCAAGTCCTCCGGATTTGTCGTGGTATGGTCAGGTCTTATCAGTAAGCCTTGCATGCGATAACCCACCCTCTAGATCCGCTAGAAGATATCTAGTAAGAACGCCAAGTGTGCGTTAGCAAAGCTCGATGACAGGGCATTTTTCATGATAGCCGTTACCGGCCTCTAGTCTTGACGCTTACGTTTGGTTTCCTCTCGGACTTGTGTGGGCGGTACATGGACGTGGAGGCGCAAGAGCTGTATCCTCGGAGGCATTGTGGTAACCCCGCTCACTCACGCCTTTCGTCCCGATTGGGAACGGGCAACCTTGGAAACGACAAGAAGGCGTGACCGAAGTAATTTCTTGACAAAACGTACAACACCATGATGTGATGTCTTCGTTGATATCCATACTACGCTTCTATTTCTATAACAGCCATGTGCCCACCATCCGACCTAACCATTACCGAAGCCCAAGATGCAGACAATAGAGCATACAAGCACCTTTCTGAGCACAGCCTGTATACACAGATATCGAAAGCTGCATATGCACATGCAGCTGAGCTGCTACATCCGGCGGTTTTGAACCACAGCATGAGGGTGTATCTCTACGCCGACGCATTGGCCAAACACGAATCCTCCAAGTACTTCACGGACACTCATCAACGCAATCTACTCGTAGTCGCGTGCCTTTTCCACGATCTCGGAACTACCCAAAATTATGATGGTCCTCAGCGCTTCGAGATTGAGGGCGCCGATGCCGCAGTCGAGTTTCTATCCGGCTTTGGTGTGGGTGGGTCGGACGCACACGATGTCTGGACAGCCATCGCGTGTCATACCAGTCCAGGGATCTCCGAAAGAATTGGTGAGCTGTCGAGACTTGTTCGTATCGGGGTCATTACGGATTTTGGACGGAAAGGCGAGGGGTACGAGGTGCTGCAACCACTGGCCGAGGGACTGGAGGCGCGGTGGGGGCGGGCGGGAATCGAGAAGGTGCTTGGTGATGCGGTGGTGGAGCAGGCAAAGCGGAAGCCAGAGAAGGCGCCGAAGGTTTCGTGGCCGCGTGCGATGTATGATGCATGGCTCGTGGAGCCAGAGTGGGACGGTGTCAACAAGGCGTTTTGAGAGGCTGCATGTGAGCTCCGTATCCTACAGCCTTGCAATCCACCGATGCTGTCACGTCTTCAACCTCCGTCGCTCCTCTCCAGGAAACCCGGATCTCTTTCGATCTTGCCCTCGAACTTTGTCCACCATGCCTGGAATGCCTTCAACGGCACTGTGTCTCCTGAGCCCCAGCTTGTCAAGAAGTCGTAGCAATTCTTGATGATCCTCTGCGCCAGCACCTTAGTCTCCACGCTTCTTTGTCCTCTCAGCACCAACTCATTGCCTTGTCCCATGTTTGGTGTTGCCGATGCTGCGGCCTCTTGAGCCTTGTTCTGCTCCAGAGCTGCGGCGACTTGTTGCGCTGGTTCGACGCTTATCCCAAGGGCCAGCGGCACGGTGCTGCCGTTCGACGCGTCCATCGATACGCCCTCGTCCACCATGGCATCGTCATTGTCGCCTAGGCCACCACCTGCAGGCCCACCGGCTTTGGCGTTCACTTTGAATATCGCGCTAGGCTTCTCGTTCGCGATCGCTCCAAGGAGTTTGAAGTCGGTCGTACCGGGCAGTTGCGCGTAGACGGCGGCGGCGGTGCCATCTGGTAAGGTGACGCCCGGAAGCAGGAAGACGACGATGTGGGTGAAGGACGGCTGCGAAGGGATTTGGAAGGCGAACTGGGTCGGCGATATAACGGAGGAAGGCTCGGTGATGACAGGCCGCCCTGAGATGATGACACCGACTGAAGACATGTTCACGTGTCGCAAGCGCGTGATTCGAAACTATACGAAAAAGAAGTACTTGAGATGGCAGTAAGGCTGCAAGCCGCGCGTGAAGAAGTTTGACATGCAACAATCATCGTTGCGCAGCCTTTGCGACATTTCGAGATGCTTCTGCGTCATTCTTGGTCCAAGCTTTACCCCACATTCACTCGTGTGTGAAGGAGCTCAGACTGGCCGTGAGTTGAGATGACGTTTTGTGCTGCATCACAAAAAAAAACGAACGTTCTAAATATAGTCATTCCATCCGAGTTCTGAACACAGCATGCCCGTAACTCCCTCGCAATGAATGACGCAACTGCCCTCTGCTCATCTCACATCCTAAACCCATGCACAGCGCTGACCCATCGTTGGTCAATTAGTTCGCTGACTCTCATCAGAACGCGATATCCACCCATCAAAGCTTGGAATGAATGGATTCGATCCTCTTCAATCATTAGTAAGAAGCGGGCGAGACCAAATGCTGAGACAGTCTTCGCGTGATGGGTTGAAGAAGGAGCTATCGGCATGTTCAAGGGCTTGCGGAGCCATGCCATGATCACTTGAGCAGCGAATGGGTTGAGGCCGACTCGACGGAGAAAGACTTCCCAGCTTGTCTCTTGCGCCACAGGCTTGATGTCGCCAATGTCTGCTGAGCCATATGGCAGTCCGTAGTTTGCCATCTCAACAACAGTGGCCCGCGCCAGAGCCTGTTCCCCTCCACGAACATATCGAACAAGTACTTCGCCTTCTAATTTGCTGGCGAACAAATCGAAAGCTTTCAGAGCTTCTGAATCTCGCGGGTCATCTGGTCGGCTCGATCCCAGCTCTTCCATCTCGCGGCTTAGACCTTCACTCACCAGCACTACCAGTCTCTCGTACCGCAACTGGAGCTTCAACATGCGTTCTTTCACTGGCGATCTTTCTGGTTGACCAGGGAGAGCTCTTTGTTTGACCTGCTGTAAAGTGGTAAAGATGAGGCCGGTTGATGGTGACAGTATGATTTCAGCTTCTTTGGCTGCCGAGTGCGGTAAAGTATAATCTCGATATACCATCTCTGCGCTTGGATAGATGGATTCGATCAGTTTCAACATTCCCCTTTGTTGTAGGAAGGTTGATGAGATCACGAAAGAACAAGGCGCCATGTTATCCGGAACAGTGGGGAGCATGGGTAACGGCTTGTTGGTGGTTTGCGCCTGCTGAGCCTGATCCACTGGCTGGTCGGATGAAGACCCCCTTGATCGAACCGGTAAAGTGTGCGTCCTCGGTTGAGCGTAATCCCTAGATTCGGACACTTTTGCAGTACTGCTTTCTACGCGGTCTACTGGCTTCCCTCGCGTCTGCATGAACTTGTTAAGCGCGGTTGTTGCCGAGAACCCACCAAACATCAGGTCTCCAGTCGCTTGTTTAGCAGCTTGCGGTTTCTGAGAGGCATGGTTCAGCCTCTTCGATCGGGTCTTCGCCGTCTGGTCTTCTGTTGGCTCGCGTTCTCCGAAGTGGTGGCTCTCTTGCATCTCTGTGGAGGATCGGATTTGTGGACGCACAGTAGGCTGCGAAGAGGTGCACCTGCGATGCTTCTCCATGACCTCTTCTTCCATTTCAAGTTTTCGCTTGCGTATCAGAGCCTCCATGTCGTTTTGCTTATCGTATTCCTCTGGATCCAGATCTTCCTCGTCCTCATCTTCGTCAAGGATACGCAGGCCTTCGCGTTTCCACACTTGCGCTGAGCTAGTCGCGACATCGCCCGTAGTCAGTTCAGCGACGATCTTAGTAACTTCGGACTCGCCATGTAGCTTTTCTTCGAGACTGAGAGTAGACACCTTGGTAGTGAGAAAGCCCCACTTCATCTCTCGTTCCGGGATCGAAAGCCCATGCCAGGACTTCGCCAACCTCAGATCCTCTCGCTTGATGCGTAAGAGGAATTGCATCTGCGCTTGCAGTTCCGTGTCATCAGGTCGATGGTCGCCACCCTTGCGCCGACTGTACTCTATCCATGGTGCCATGGGCAGCGAGAAGTCCATGTATGGAATATCGACTCTTGCAATCGTGTCAGCGCCGGACAGTCGTTCGTTTTCGATTTTCTCGTTGGCGCGCTCAGCCTGCTCCTCGATTTCGTGGAAGAATTGGTCAGAGCCAGCCCCACCTTCATCATCCTCACCCCATGGCTTGTAGAGTAAGGATTCGTCCGCGAAAGACACAGATTTGAGCCTTTTCATGGGCGAACTAGAACACATCAATGGCGTAAGAGGACCTTCCACTTTGAGATCCTCAGCTCGGCGCTTCAGTATGGGCGAACTGGTTGGTTCGAAATCAGGATTAAATTGAGATGGATGAGTAAGATCAAATAGCATCGAATCACTGCTACTCGAGTTTGTGCGAAAAAGAACGTCCGCTGCCAGAATTTGCTCCTGCAGAGCCTGCGCCTCAATAGTAACCGATTCGGCAGTATCTGAATCGAATGGCAGACGATTTGTGGGTGAAGATGGAATGTATGGTGTCAGTGGCGGCGATACTGGGAGTAAAGGCGGTGTCACAGGTCGGATATTGGGCTTCTGAGTCGGTTAGCAGGCGAACATAAACAACACTTCCACATACCTGTTTTCGTATCAGGCTCTCTGCCTCCAGCCTTTGGCCGTCTTCCGGTACATACGCGTCTCGAATAGTGTCCTGGAGATAAACCAACACCTCCCGTGAGATGGCGAGCTTTTCGACTTTGACCTGCGCGTCGCACTGTGCAGGGTAGTCGAGATACCTCGCTGGCCATCCTAAGCCCTCATCGTTTTCTTCTACCGTGATCTCCGAAGGAATCTGTAAATTCTTGAAGTCTGGCACAACTGTACCACCGAAGTTGAGCAAATCAAGCTCATGATCAGATCGTAGCACAGGTAGCTCTTGACGTAGATCGCGCCTCCACGTCCGGCTATTAGTAACCGTCAGGTCGCTCGGAAGTTCATCCTGGAGAGCATGTGCTGCCTTGAGGAGCAACGCAGTGTCTTTGTTCACCGTAAGCTTTTCTTTGACAAGCCCGCTGACAGCCGTGTCGATGGTCGCATCGGAAGGTTCGTGAAGATGTCGACCAAACTCATCGTCTAGTGGTGACTGAAGATGGCGAATGTGCAGTAATTCTGTCTCATAGTTCACGCAAACGCCTTGCGTTCTCGCCCATTCGAGGACGCTTGGCTCCGATGTGTCCAGGCCGAGGTCCAGTTCCATACTGATCGCGTCTGAAGGATGCTCGCTCTCAAGTAATGCGGGTAACAATAATCGTTAGCTGGCTGTCTTTCGTATGAGAAGCACAAATGGTGAGTGTCGATTGCGAGGGTTGCGCTTTCTTCATCATATCTGCCTTGGCGTCCACGTGGTCACGCGCTTGTAGTAGTCTCGCAATGTCACAAACAGGAAGGAGCAGGGAAAATTTGATGATGATTTGATTTCTTGATTCATTAACTCGTGGCTTATTTGGGCCATGATTTGTTCTAGGCTGTCCTGTATATTTTCATGTGAATGTGCAAAGGGTGTTGAACTATGTACATGCGAGTAGGACTGTATTTCCTTCCACTAGCTACGCGCGTCTATTTGGGAACAGGCTTCTGACCGAAGCCGAGAGACTGGTTTCCTCCGTTGAAAGCAACGAGCTGGGCCTTGAACATTGTGTCACCGTAAATCTGCAGACCGGCACCCTGGTTGCCTTGTACACCGCCGAAGCAGGTCGTGTTGGCCGCATCAACTGTGGCGAAAGTAATCTGGCTACCGGGGATCTTGGCCATGTATGAGTCGCCGATTGCGACACTCATGTCAGGGAGGGCAGTACCGCACGGGTAGATGAAGCCACCGACCTGAGCGTTAAGCTGAGCACCCTGGACTTGCGAGTAGTATGCCTCGGCAACCTGCTGGTCGACGAGCAGGAGCGATGTACCGGTGTCGGCGATGGCGTCGGAGCCTTGAGGGTTCTCGAAGAGCTGGTCGCCGACGGCAAACTTGGTAGAGCCGAATTGCCAGAAGCCAGTGTCAGCCTTGACTGGGATCCATGCCATGTCGCCTTCGAACTTTGTAGCATCGATCTTGCCGAACTCGTAAACACCGGTGCCATCTGGGTCGAGGTCGGCAGTGAAGACGGGCATGTCTAGGTTGGGCATGACGTTGTCGAAGAAGGTCTTTGCGGGGGTCTTCTTGGTTCCGTCGTTGACAGTGTTGAGGTTGGAGAATGCAAGACCGACGAGGCCATCAGTGTTGGTGTCCTGGACGAAAGACTGGGATACTTGGTTGGCTAGCTCGACAGTCTGACCCTCAACCTTGACACCTCCAATGGTGACAGTGTCAGTGCCAACGATACCAGCAGCGCCAGAACCGTCACCGTAGCTGATCTTCCACTGAGCACCGGCAGTGGCCTTGAAGGAAGTAGACTTGGATGCGTCGAAAGCGGAGTGTTGGCCGATCAGTTGCGGGTCGAGCTCAGTACTGAAACACCAAAGATCGGAAGAACCAGAGTCGAAGTCCAAGTTCAGGGTCTGACCACCAATATCGACAGGCGACAAGAACAGAGCAGCGTTGTCCTCAGGGTTGGCTGCAACACTGCCAGTCTTGTTGCCACCAGTGGCAGCAGCTGCGGTCACGTTCTGGCTCTGCTTTGAGAACGAGATGAAACCCTCCTTGACCATGAAGTCCTCCTTCACCTTGAAGTTGTACTTCCTGAACACCTTCCTCATAGCAGCAGCGCCATTAGGTCCAGTCGGGTGAGCCCTGTTGATTTGCCTGGGAACTTTGAACGAGCGTTTTTGGAGACCCCTCTTGCGGGCAGGGGCGGGAGCGGCAAGCACAACGGCCGCCAAAAGAGTGACGAAGAATAAGAATCGTAGAGAAAACATGTTGAGCTGTTGAGCTAATGCTGACCGGCAGCCGGACTGGAAGAACCTGTCGTTTGGAAAGAAGAGAATGGGGTAAAGAAAGGAAGGTACGAAACGAAACACAACTTCCTCGAAAGAAACAGAACAGAAGGCTCGGCCTGATGGTAGTCCACGGTTCTCAAGGAGGGTGCGAAAAGAGTGCTTTTAAAGAAGGAACGTCTATGCGACCAACGATGTAGAGACAGTGAAACTCGAGAAGGATGAAACCTGAGCCTGCAATCCGAACCGATGCCGACGCATGATGAATGATCTGGGAGCGCTAACTCGACACTCAAGGCCAAGCTGAGATCCACGCGGCAGCAGACAAAACGCTACGCGTGCTGCATTGTCGATGATCCATGGGGAACATCAAGCCTAGCTCCTGTCAGGTTTTCAGGCACAGAGATCTAGAAGCCCGTCTAGTTGGCTACTAATCGTGCGAAACGGGGACTATGGGTCTAGATACGGCGATGTGATTGGCCCAAAAGCATCTCGAGCCTCCTCGGAGAGGTATCGATAAGGCAATGGGGGTCGTTACGCGTCCAGCTTGACGCTGTTGAAGAAATGTGGAGAGAGCTAGCATCAGGCAGGGCTCCGACTGCAGGTACGTTTCAGTACCGTGGTACCGACAAACGTCAGAGTCGCACGAGAGGCTCTCGAACGGTAGTGCTAGCTTGCGCCTGGTGATGCTAGAAAGTTGTTTCTGTCAGCCACCTCATTTCAACTGACCATTGTGGCTGCTCTGGTGTTCTGGAGAGGTACGCCTCTTCTCGCCGAGTCGCTTGAAGTTGACGACGCGCGGTCATGCCGTCAACGAGCATGAACGGGTGAGCTGACGAAGCCCGGGGGACGGTGTTTCGCAATGCCAAGACCAGACAAGCTAACTGGGCGTCGCCTCATGGATGAAACAAAGGGCCCGCCAACCCGCAACTCGAGAAGCCGGAGGTCTTCCCATGTCTCTCGTACATCCGGGATGTCAGACAAGCAGCCGCGGCGAAGCTTAACTGTCATGTTGCGGGATCGGATTTGCAGTTTCTCCAGGACCAACCAACCTGATGCGCGTCTTCCCAAACATGCTCCATCATTACAAACATGCTTCATCGCGGTTTCGCGCCACTTATCTCGGCAAGCAAACAGACTGGGCATCCGCCGATGCGAGGTTCATGTTTCGAACATCAAGGCTTTGAAGCTGTTGGTGAGGCCGGTGCGGCATTTTCCCTGATTTCGCAAGCCGGCGCCAGGCGGCGTGGATGATCGAGCTTCTCCACTCCATTATTTGGTACAGCGGCGTAGGGGAAATTGCGCAAAGCATGATTGAGCGCTGTGGAGAATAGTCCGCACGCTGCGCAGGTGGCGTTGAGAAAAGCAAGTTCATCGTTCTAGACAAGCGAGAGAGGGTGTCGTCACGAGAGGGAACCGCAAGTGCACGGGCGCGGAAGAAAGACATTTTCAAGGGTCTTGACACTGACAGGCGAGGAAGGTTGCATGAAATCAATGCATATATTCGAATATTGAATGAAGGCGCTTTTGTTCTATCATAAGGTGACATTCCGTCTACGTCGTCAACGCGCCGACCGATGCCTTTTCATCATCATGAGCACGACATCAACGCCCACCCGCACACCCAACTTCACCGTTGCCAGCTCTCAGATCTTTCGCTCTGCGAGAATTGTGCAACGTCCACACTACATCCAAGCGATGGGTGTGTAACTTGGTGCTGCACCTTCGAGTGCGGTGGCGTCCAACCCCTTGGGCATGAACTTCGTACTCCGAACATCGGCCGCCTGCATAGGGCGATGCGTGGCGTCTGGATGGCGTTGTTATGGCTCAAATGTTAATCATCAAACGTGTTCATCCAAGCAGTTCCACATCTAGACCGATGGCCCTCATGAAGAGGTTCACGTTGGCCGTACGTGCGCTTGCCATCTCAGCGGGCAAAGCCTTGCTAACAGAGACCGTCTCCATGACGCGGTCCTTGACGCCGAGCACCAACCTCTGTTGCTGTTCGGGACTGGCGCCCACACCCATTGCAGCCAGGAACTGCCAGATGTACATGTCGTCGGTGTCGTTGATAGTTCCTGGGAACAAATAGGGAAGAACAGGCTCGATGACGTCAAACAGACGGTTGTAAAGTGCCGTCCATTGTTGCCAATCGGTAACCATCTCGGGAGCTGACTGCTTAAGAAGCTCGGCGCGAGAGATGAGGAACGTGAGGAGAGTGAGACCGATCCTGCTTCGAGCCACAGTATGGAGGTTGGTGCGGTCCAGAACAAGACCAAGAAGGCCGATGACAATGTTCAACGGCGCCTCTGAGATGTGCGCGTGGAGAGGCGACATGACAGTGCTAGAGAAAAGGTCAACCTCTTCTCGGATTGCTGCACTCAAAGGCTCCTCGGGCGTAGCGATAGCACGGCCGACCACGGAAAGGGCATCTAGGTGGACAACGATCATAGTGACGACGGTGATGCGCTCCTGTTCGTTGATGTGGCGGAAAAGTCGTGGAAGTACCTTCTTTCCCTTGGCGTGTGAAAGGATAGAGATGAACGGATGCGGTGTGCTAGAGTTTGTTAGCAAGAAATAGATTTTGGGAATATTACAACATACGCAGGGTTAATGGGCTCCATGATCTTTGTGTTCAACCACAGTTGCTGGTGGAGCGCTTCGATCTTCGAACGCCATTCCATATGTGCCTGGATGGCTTCAGGAGGGCTGCTCTCTTGGATCGGCGGTGGCATTGCCCGCTCGTGGTCTTCCATTTGCATGAGTGTCTTGTACACTGCCTCGATGTTGCGAAGAGCCTCCTTCCGGTCAGCGATGGAAGACCGGTGGTTCTTCGGCAGCTTATCGTTCGTCTCTGGCCGCTTCAGGTTGAGCAGCGGTCGAGGGGTCTTGGAGTTGCTAAACGCAATCTTTCCAAGACTGCCTTCCACAACAAGCTGCCTAGCCTTTGGTCTTGCTTTGGCCGCCTCGACTGCGCGCTGAATCTGTTGCTCCATGCGCTGCATGTGGTTGTCTCCGCCTCGGCCTTGTCTGCGGTTGCCAAACCTGTTGTTGGTCTGGAACAGGTATGTTTGAGCAAATTGGCTTGCTGGCTGCTGTGGGTTTTGGCGTGGAGCACCCCGAATCTGGGTGAAGACCTGGTAATAGAAGTCCTCTGCAATAGCTGCCTCAGGTCCTCTCTCCTCCAAGTTGCCCGTCGCAGTCATCAGTTGCTGCAACTGGATTCGGGTGATGAAGTTTTTGTCCTGCGGCGTCATCAGGCCGTTGTCCTTTGCTAGGAGAGCAATCTTGTGGTTCCGCTTGGCCCGCTTAGCATCTTCTTCGAGGAAG